CCATATATTTTCGTTTTCTTCAATTTCTTCAGGCAACCACGGAAGGTTGATTCCTACTACTCAACAGTAGAAAACCAGTACAAGCACAGAAAAAACCCGTGAGTAAAAACCTCGGTTTTTAAGAACCTGTTTAGGTTAAAATTTGCCGGTTAAACCTCTCCTCTATACAAGAACCTGTTTCTCCTAATATTTGAAACAGGTTATTTTCTAAACTCTATAAAAAAAACACTAGTTCTGTACACATGGACAAATAAGATAAAGTAGGTGCGTTATCTCACCAACAGTGCAAAGAAATGGTACACGTCTGCATATTACTGAAGGAATACCACTAAATACTACAGGTTAGAATGTATTTTTTCTTCAGAAAGTAAGAACCTGTTAACTTAAATTTGTGCTTATATTGTCATTTTCATAAGAACCTGTTTAGGCAACCTTGGGAAAGTGCAATTACTCGCGGGTTTTCACTGTTTTACTCGAATTGAAGGTAGCATAAGGGACCGATGAGTCATGAGACGAAGACTCTATGAGAAATTACGTGAGAGGATAATTAGGCGATAGCAACTAGTTCGTTTTGGGTTGAGTTTCATGTCGATCCCGTGACAGTCCATGACAATCGCTACCCGCATGAGACTTTGTTCTAAAGCTGAGTGGGCCTGAGGTGATCCGGGGGGCACTTGAGGCTGGATCTTCAAACACTAACCTGTTGTTTAAGACAAAAGTTATACATTTCAGTACACTGTTTAACACAAGAGATTTTATTCTATGGCCCTGATTCGTTTCGTTTTGCATACAGAATTGAGTAATTTCAAGAGCCATAAATGGGCTTTATGGCTCTTGGTAATTTTTCAAGTAACCGTCATGGAATTGGATTTCTTCGGTACTGAAATGTAAATACCGTTTATCGCCAACCCTCACACTCTTTAAAGAGGCTTCGATCGGTCCAAAAAGGCACCTTGTTCAAGACGCCAAATAGTGAAAACGTCAGTACACCCTGTTTGAGACTCAAGCCCCTAAAAATCATACCCTGCTCAGCTGTACACACCAGAAAAAGCCAAATAAGAAAGTGCCCACCCCCCTCCCCCCGTGAGCTTATCCTTGCAAAAGCCATACATAATTAATCGCCATTTATCCTTATCGCTAAAGGCAGGAACCTATTACCCTGTTATCGCCAAGAGCGTATAACTAGACTCCCGTTATCGCCTATAAAAGGAGCCAGAGTTAATTTTTGGAATGTTCGAGCTTCAAGAACCTGACATTTCTTAATCTGAAGTACATTGAAAGAAAGAATTGGCGAAGCCAAAGAACGTTTTCTCTCTCCCTCTATTTTTGCTACATCATTGGTACTTTCATGCTGACACCAAGTGCCGTCGAGAAATATAATGCGCGTATCATTTACGGGTCGGAATTTTGATGACTGACAGGATTCCATATACAGACCCATTCTCGACCTCAATGCTTTCATCGCGCGCAGCAAGAGACAGAAGAGATCTTGGAACGAGATTGCTGTAAAGATCGGAGGATAAGATAACGGTCAAGAGAGCATAATGAGTCAAAGATGGAAACGCCCAGTCTAACCCTTGGCCGATATGTGAGGAAGGCTAATTTTGTTAGCCGAAATGTTTGCCTCGAACAAATCAACCCTTCGCCGTATTGCCAGCCTTAAATCTTGTATTCAGTTTCAGTTTGAATTTCACTTATGCTATTTTTCGACAAATTAGACGCTTGAAATCATCGGAAGTTGGTGTCCGGAGAGGTCCGCAAACCTCATTAACTCTTTGTTGTCAAGGGAACGTAATGGGACATTTTGCCTTCTTGGTGTGACGTCACCATTACAAAGTGGCGAACCATGAGAGGGCAAATAGACTTGAAATGTATGGCACTGAATGTGTTTCGTTGTCGGATTGACAGAATTAAAAGATTTCGTCGTATCTTCCTCATAAGCCTCATTTGCTGAATAAAACTCCTCCTTCGCAAAAATATAGAGAAAATAATCACAAGAGAAGTCATTACAAGCACTTCGTCCCCTTTCATTTTTTATGACGCGCTTTTGCAATTTGAATCCTGAGTTAGTGGCTTTGATTGCCGGTTAAATTTCACAGTGAAAACAGTTGTCACGTTTAACTAGTAAAAGTCGGTTTGCAAACAAATCCTAGAAAGAATGTTCGGCTAGTTAATCGCCCTAGTGAAAACACAACCAAAGAAATGTCATGACAGCAGTAGCAAGGATTTTGTTACAGAGAGGCATATTTTTCGGCAAGAGGTAATCTAGAGTACTAAACGGGTGACTCGATTAAGAGTGTAGGCCGAGGGACATTTTGCACCTTGTTCTCCTAGGGGGAGGGTACTCCCTACAATACTCCCTACGGGGAGGCTCCGGCCGAAAGGGGCACCTTTTTCTGGCTTTAGGGGTCTTCCTGCAGGTACCGGAAAGCTTTGTATTTTTGGTCACTTGGGATTAGTCTTTATTTGGAGTTGTTTTGTTTCCTGCCTTTTATTACTATTGTATTACGTAATCTGTGCTCCGGTACTCACAGAAGGAACCGGCTTTAGGTATATAAAAGGGTAGGGATTTGACTAGTTGAAGTATATGGAAGGGTAGAGAAATATGTCATTTTGATCTGTTAAAAGGCCTAGAAGGAATAACAGATGCATGTTGTGGAGATGAAAATTCGAGAAAACGTTCTGGTTTGAGGTTTATTCATGTCATAAAGAAGGTGCATTTACAGCAGCTAAAAGGGGTGCAAAGTTCTAAACTAGATATTTGAAAGGGGTACCATTTGTCAATAGAAGGTATACTGCGAAAGGGGTACTTTTTTTTAATCAAAAATGGTATATAAAAGGGTAAGGGGTTGTACCTCGTGGCGGAGCCTCCCCGTATAAAACTTTGTTGAGTCACCCCCCGCCTCCCCGGGCTTGTGCAGGCAACAGTTAAGACCTTGGCTTGAGGCAAAATCGAGAAAAACACCGAATTTTGTTTACTTTGTAACAGTGACTTGCGGAGCTACATTGGAAATTGTATTTCCTTCATCAATCGCTTAGGCCTGTTTCAAACGTCGTGCTAATGCCGTGCTAAGCTGGCTCGACTGTAGATCGACTGCATCACGACACTAACACGACTTGGTTTCAGACGTCGAATTAATTTCAGTTGAATAGAACGGCTGTTGCCGAAAACAAAACACAAAAATAAAGAAACGGTTTAGGAAACTTTTAAATGTATTCTAATGTATTTATAATTTACGAATTACGTTCGGCACGGCAGTAGCGCGACGTTTGAAACCAAGAGGAGCTACTGCCGTACACTGATGCTAAAACATCTGCATTTACCAAATCTACAGTACACATGATTATCTCGCCTAGCCTATAAAAATGCACCCTAATTGTTGTTGGCTAAATGATGGGAAACACTAAGAAAAACATTGATGCTATACGATTAGCATTATAATTACAGATAAATACAGACGCCACAGTGCCTCCACCAAACTGTCAAGCAGAGTTGATGAATAACAAGTTCACGGGTAGTTTCTTACTAAGAGCTATTTTCTACTACTTGGAAGAAGGTTCTTTGGAAAGTTGTTTAGGTTGTGTAGGTTTAAATAGCTAAGGTATAGACTTATACTTATCACATTCCGCCACGGAATAAACCTGAAGTTCTGCAGAACACGGACTATGGATGGCCTTCGTAGCTGGCGATTTTGTTTGGAAGCGCGGGCCTATGGGCGGCAAATCCTCGAGGGGAATGGGGCAAGACGAACCCGCGCTCGTTCGCGTGTGCGCTTCCAAACAAAACCGCTAGCTACGCAGGCTATATTATGGACCGTAGTCAAACGACTAGCACGTTGAGTTCTTCTGGAGAACGAAACGGAAAAAAAAAGGCCTAACAAACTACTGTGGGTAACCGAGCAATCGGCTAAATGAACACAATTTTTTGACATGTTACATGCAAAACCACTATATACAGTTATACAGTTATAAAACATCAGTATAAAAACCCTGAGATATAGCCACTTAAGGCACGTGATACTAAGTGCAAAGTACCGAGCACATGCGCCGCCTCTTATTCCTGGACCCTTCTTAACAGTTTAGCAGAGGCCCTGATGAATCGTCCCCACCTACACAACATTTCGGTATAGTTGGATCTTGTCATAGATCCACCGAAATGCTTATTACCTCTCCACGTTACGGTGTAGTATTTTGAAACTGGGTTGAGTGAATTTCTGAGCAAACACAGACACACGCGTCTACTTATAAAAAGAGGCAGACGCTCTACGCGCTGTTGGAATTGTTCTAAAGGACGTTTGTTGTAGCCTTGGAAAAATTTCGTGTTCGGGTCAACTCTGGACGACTCCAGCACGGTGGACTGGCAATTCGGTATTGCTCAGTGCTGATCTGGTAATGTAATTTAATCGTGCAGTCGCTAAAACGTAAAACTACGTACTATTTACGCGACATCTCATATAGCAATAAGTATTAATATAAAGGCGAAGACCCCTTGAGACATGACTGGGTAACATTGCAAAAAGTATAATACCATAGCAAAAAACATTTTTTGTTTTCAGTTACTTGTTACCTAATCGTTTCAAGAATCAGAATAGATTCACCCAGGTGGCCGGTTGCAAGCAATCCATGGGTGAGATTTTGGGCTCACGGCTCTTGCCAAAGCGGTAGGCTGATACCCGGGAAAATCGACTTCAAATCCAACCTCTTTAACCCCACAGTCACGACTTCTCTAAAGGATAAGGTAGGCCTAAGAATCTGAATGTAAAAAAGGGCAGCTTCCATAATGGAGAGTTTGGGAGTTTTAGTTCCTACCACTAATTCTTCACGGCCCCGGAACCAAACCCTGTACGGTATGAAAAAACACAATGTAACGCGTTTTGAAAAAGAAAACAAAGGCAAACATCAAGAGTTACACAAACAAGAAACTTCTCAAGACTACAACATAACGCGGCTCTTACGGAGTTTCTCCCTCTCGTATCGTAACGCGCCCGCCATTCAGCATGTCAGGTTTGTCTGATTCTAACTTGAGTTCCTCCGCTCATCTGTTGCCTGGGAATGGGAATAATCTCAGGCGCAGCAAGTAACTCGTCATCAGCTGGGAACGGAAATTGATTCCTTGTCATTTCGTAGCCACCACCGAATGGCGCATCTTCAGCGGGCAAACGAAGGGCCGGCATAGCTGCGTGACGTAACAAAGCTCCTGCCCGCCCGCGACCAGGTAAAACAGCTGTCTCTCTTAATAACGCACTGGCGCGATGTGGGGAGACTCGATCTGCTCCAGGGGCATTTGCGAACCCAGGCTCCCTGGCTAAGACGCCATTGGTTGCTGGCCCTATCTCCGTTTGCAAATTACGGGATTGTTGCTTCCTGGCATTCGTCATGGCAGATGGTCGCGGCGGAGATCCTGGCTCTTCAGACTCTGAACTGCTTAGCGGTGGAAAGTCGTACTCGGTGAAGAGTGTTTGTGGAGGAAGAGATGGGACCGTAACTGGGGTAGACTTGACACTCGGCCGAGCTGCCACGGCTTCTTGGAGATCTTGTGCAAGTGGCTTCATCGTGAAGCCATTCCCCTCTGTACTTGCATTGCTTGCTTCTGAATCACTTCCACTGGCGATATCTGGCAACGACTGTCGCAGCCTAGACACAGCGCTAGGAGCTGGGCCGAGTTTCCTCTCTTTTACCCGTCCTTTCTTGTTCTCGTACTTATCTGCGAATTCTTGTCCTTCGTTCCAGGCCTCTCGATTAGCTAGTACGTCCTCTGGGACTCCATTAATCGCGTCCTCGTTGAAGTCTCCGTCGTATGGTCTCGCGCGCTGACGGTAGCTAAACTGGTTCAGTGAATGGAATTTTGAAGGAAGCAACTGACCTTTCATCTGGTAAGAAAAATAAACGACATAAAAAGAAATTATGAAAGTGAGCATGATATTCGCAGTAGAATTAATAACCTAAGGGGTTGAAAAAGAGCCTGAAAAAATTCGGGCTTGAACGGGAATCGAACCCTGTCCTTTGCGATTGACCGCACGAAACCGCTTAGGTTGTTCATTCTACTGCGAAGATCATGTTCACTTTCATAACTTTATCCGCAGTTCAAATGGCGATTTATTTCATATATTTTCTAAAAAGATGAGTAATTGAATCCAGAAGTACAAATCAACCCAAAGCGGTAACGAGTGTGAAGAACTGTTTGAGGGATCAAAACAGCTTGACCAAGTTGTTGGGGTTGGATTCTGACAGAGGCCATTATTTCAATATGTCTGGTGACAGTGATCAAAGTGTCTGGATAAAATACACAGTCAGTCGAAGAGATAACTAAAAGTAGCTGAGAAGTAAAAGATCTTCTCTCCACTAAATTCGCTTTTACGGAAAACGGTAAACGTCATATTAAAGTTCACAAATTCTCACATATAATAAGAAAATGAGGAGATAAAATTGTCTAATATGATTCTTACCGATGAACCGGACATGAAAGTACTTATTTTCTGTGTAGCTATAATGAACAGTAAACGAGAAGTACATGTAGTACAGACTGACGTTTCCCGTAAACGTGTACATTTTATCGTTCATCTTCGATCAGTTAATTCCTATTAGCACGGGTTAATCATGGCGGTGGGTTGTCATATTTAGCTAGGAGTAGATGATGACAATAACTTTTAAAAGTGGCCTTAAACATGAGCAAAAACGGAGCGCTAATATAGTGAATGTAGTGAACGCGTCAACAACAGCGGGAAAAAGGTTGGCCAGTGCAGCAGCGTAGCGTCCATATACGCACATACGCACATGCCTACAGCAGTCATCTGGATTTTTTTTTATTTCCTGAAAGCATTTTTATCATTTTAAAAATTGGGAAAACTGATAAATGTTTCGCATTATATTGGTGTCTAGTATTTCCTTTATCGTTTCATTATTCCATATTCTGATGGCATCACTGGCCTTTTTTCCTGTTGACACATTACCTTACCGATGACACAAAAAACCACTAAGCACTGCATTTTCCTTCGTATTTCTGTACTTACCTCGATATAACTAGCCTCCGTAGCTGGCGGTTTTTTGGTGTGCTTTTTCATTTGTGGTTCGCAGAGTAAGTGTTACAGCCGCGCGAAAGCTGAACCGAGGTCGAAACAGAAAACGATGGGGGAGGGGGGCGAGGGGAGAAGGGTAACAGGGTGCAGATAACGTAGTATCCCAGTTATCCTTAGACAAGAAGTCCTTTAACTATTTCGCAGCTTCGTACCTTGGGATTGATATCCTTAGCATCTCTAACCACGCTGAGGTATATATTGACTCCATACAGAAATTCAGCTAACAAACGCTCCATCTGGGCAAGTCGTAATTCTCGAAGGTACATAACATGCTGGACACACAAAGATAACAGAACAAGATAAACGGACACTTTACCAGTTTTTGGGTTCTCCATCCATGGGCAATTCAACGTAAGGAAAATTTGATAAACAATGACAACCTTAAGAAAGATAAGATGCTTTTTCCGTCCGTGACACAGGCGGCTCAGAAGAGGAAATCGGAAACTACGACCTTCTGGGTACTAGTTTAGATGCTCTACCACTGAGCTACAGAAGACTCGTGGGAGGTAAGGTCACAAGGTTCTTGTGACAAACAAGAGATGTTTTCCCTAGCGGGCTAAGACTGGATACCGATATATCCACAATGCAAGAAATGTGAAAGTGAATTTGACTTTTTGTTTCCCCCGAGCCGCCAGTATCACTGACTGAAAAATCATCTTCATCATGTACCTCACCAGGCTTAAAATTGACCCTCATATTTCTCTCAATAACGACCTCTTTGTACATAGTGTTCTCATAACTTCATGTTTGATATTAAAGCAGCGTGATTTCAAGGCGAAAAAAACAGGCCCGAGATTAAAGTATCATGGCCTACCCTTGCAGCTGCATCCACCAGAGCTGCTGGAGATGGTCGCTCTGCCCAAACAGACTCTTTCCTCTGCAAAAAAAGTATTAAAAAAGGCAGTCAAAATACCTTGCCGTCAAACTAGCACCTGCGGATAAAGCTAACGACCTTTCACATAAGACGCCCAGCCGTTATGAAAAACTTATGGACAAAAACAGAAACAGAAACCTTTTTATAATAAGCAAGTAAGAGAGAAGAATTCTCGATTTTTTGTGGGCATTTTAAATAAAACAATTATTCCACTTGCGCTTGTTAGATATGAGATGATTAGAGCCAACTCGGCGCTACTCGTTGGCTATCTACCATCTCATATCCAATGCTCACTGGTAGAATAATTGTCAGTTATTCAACTAATTAATTCTTGTTTTTTCATGTCACAACGCTGGCTTTAAGGTGGACAGTGAAAAGTTGATTTAGACTTTGTTACTACTATATACACGTAAGAACGATGATTTCGACGCGATTTCTCTAACGGAGCGCCGATATTTAAAGTGGAGAGTTACATATCGAAAAGGTGTTCAAACGATACCGGGTCGCTTTTCGTGCCGAAAGCTTTCCGGTATAGCGTGAACAAAGCCTTACTCATATCTCGATAAACAAGACATCATTAGATACCTGCATGTACTGAAGCCGCACTTTCTGGAAGTTGACTTGATCAGGTGACACATTGAGGTATTCATACAAGCACGCTACAATACCATTGACATACCTAGCAAGACAAGTACAGGATAAAAAAGCTATTAATAACAGCTTAGTGTTGTGTGATTAGAAGTCCAATTCCTTCCAAGTGATTTACAGAATGAGGTAGGTGTGGCACAGTCGGTTGAGTGCTAGTCTGCGGGAACGGTTGTGGGTTCGGCCAATACACAGGGTCTTAAATAACCAAGGAAGAGGGCACTGGCTTTGTCCTGCAAACGGCTTAAAAACGAACAGGCCATTTCCGAGTTTTTAAAAACCCTCACCTTCAAAATGAGGCTAGGTGCACAACATTTCGTGTGAAAATGAGTTTTATTTGCCTGAGAAGGAAAAATCATTTCCATATCAAAGGCTGGACACTTAATCTCGTTCTGATACAGAGGCCCAGGGGAACTCCAGAATGGCCTATTAAATGGTGGTTCAGTCTTCAATGGGCCTGGGTATAAAAAGCGTTTTCAATAGTACCCCACGCGAGAGGGTTTTGTAAAGTTCGTCTACGTGTCACGGCAACTCGCCCATTTCTCTGGTTAACTCTAATTAATAAAAACTATACATACATGTACATAAAAGTTTGATAACAAATAAGAAGCAATGTAAAGTTATGAGTTGTTCGTTACATGCCGTGATGAATAACAGCATCCTGAAGTCTGGTAAAAAACGTTAGCAAGGCCACCTAACTTACGACATTAGCGAAACAACCGTTAGTCAGAATTGTGTGGGTGCATACCTCGGTAGTTCACCTCCCTTCTCTTTCTTATAAATCATGACATCTGCTACCTGTATTGGGAAGAAATACAGTAACAAAAGTAAGAACTACTGAGAATTTCTGAAAGGCTGTCCTACTCTGCACTAGGCCAGAATTGTTCTTGTCTGAGAAAACAGCCGACATTTGGCGACACTACCACTGATTTCCCCGCCAAATGACGTCTGAGAAACGAGCGCAGAAATTCCATACTGATGACGTGTCATTACCCAGATCTAACTCTAACTCTAAATCTAAATATTGTTTTGTAGCCAACATCCAGGGGTCTTCACGTTAACTTTAAAACGCTAAAAAATAAAGGATGGTAAGGATTGAATTTCATCTTCCACTTTTGTTGCCAAGCGTCTAATCTATATAGATCATCCTGAAGATCAGCTGCATCTTCATCACAACAGATTGTTCCATATAACTATGCATCATCATCAAAAAGTCTAATGGCAGAGTTAAAATCTGGGTACTGCTTCTGATTAGTTAAAGCAAATCGCTCCCAAGCCGCACAACCAGTCAGAAGGGAATTTCTCCGCTCATTCCTCAGACGTCATTTCGTGGGGAAACCAGAGGTGGCGTCAAGAAATGTCGGTTGTTTTCTCAGGCTAGAGTTGTTCTATGGGTAAACCGATCGTTTCGAAATGAACTCAAGCAGTGAAATTGCACAAAAATTTCCTTCACTTCGAATATAGTATGCGCGTGAACAAGAAAAAAATTGGGGTTAATATTCTTCGTTTCTTAGGTCAAGTACCTGGAACTATTTACAACTCGACTGAGTAAACTTGCATCGAAACGACCAGTAACCGTTTGATGGCAGTACTTGTGGCAACTTGCAGTCCTTTTTCTCTGAAAGTCGATTGGCGACACAGAGTTTTACGTGGAGTAATGTCGAGACCTACTTTTGCCCTTGTATTAAGCGACCACGAAATTGTAATTTTTTCATAAAAATCTATGCTGAGCACACTGGATTTCACAGGATCGGGTTGCTGTCCGGCAGACCTTAAATTGTTCTTCATTGTGTATTGAGCAAGGCTTACTGACTAAGCAACATTTTCACACAAAAATTCAAACCATGGGTGGGCAGCACAGGACCCATTATAAGTTTCTGGAAAACCGCCCACCTACCACTCCCCTAAGTCAACATTTTTCCCTAAGTGAGAAGTAAGAGTTAGTGTTAGTTTAGGGGAGGGGTAGGTGAACAGTTCTCCAGAAACGTATAATGATCCCAAATATCAATAGTTACATTTTTGAAACAACTGTGTTGCAAAAAAAATATCAAAAGAAAATGAATAAGCTGTTTCCTACGGCAACAATAAATTTCTTAAAAAGAAAGAAAATCAAATGTACCTGAGTGTCAAACACATTCACAAGTCGAACACGATATTGATGATACAATGCATCACTGACTTGTCTACAGTCGTGAATTACCTACACACAGTAGAGAAAAACACAACAATGCTTTAAACATTTGAATCCTTACAGCTAAACAGCAGACAACAACCTAAAGTGGATAGGTCAAGGTTAAGTTTTATAATTTTGCCCATTCTTCGTTACATGTGACCTTAAATTTACAAACTGATGGAAGAAGTCCCTTTTAAAGGTCATTGCCACGCATATAAAAATACTGTTGATTTATACCAAGCACTACAAGTTTTTCCTTTGTACAAATTGAGACAAACTTGAAAAAGGCCCAAGCCCTGTCTTTTAAGCTAAACAGGATGCATCAGTTTTGCCCATCCATCCTTCTTTATGGCTATTCTGTATTTTCTTTTGCAGGGTGCAAAGAAAGTCAGTTTTACAGCCTGCCATTCGGACAAACTGTAGATAGCATGTACTAGCCCACATTTCAAGTCATTTCAACTAGCCCCAAAACCCTTTTTGATTGGCAGGATTGATAACAATCCTTCTGCAATTTGAATTCCCCCAAAAGACAGCACTTGCCCGTCGGGCAAGTTTAGAACAAAAAACACCAGCCCGATAGCAAAATCCCCTAACCTCGGGCTATCGGAAACGACTTTCTTTGCACTCTGTTTTGTCCTCTGCAGTTTGACGTGTGCTTTACTCTCCCACTGACACTGCCTCCCCCATTATACCTTGAGTATATCTCCACTCTCCAGAATGTCTTGCAGTCCTTCATCAAAACAAGGAGCTCCAAGAGTGAGGACATCAAACAAGTAAATTACCCTGCTACAACCAATCTGAAAGGACAAAAAAAAAACAAAATCACTTGTCTAAGGGACTAGGCAACACCTTTCACTAAAATGGTCACTTTTGTATAACACCATGGTTAGTAGAGTTCCCTTTACTAAGGGGTACCCGACTTGCTAACATTTTCCAAATCACATTATTTCCAAAATTTCAGGCATCGCAGTTGTGATTTGGAGGGTAAAATAACACACTGTGTTTTACGTTAGATGATACTGACTGTTGAAACAATGAATACCCAAATTTTATAAAATGGAACTGAGGAATGAAGAAATAAATACAAAGAAAATTACCACAACTTATGAAGTTGCAAAAAGAAAGCCTGAAAAAATACAGGCGTGGTGGAATTTGAACCCTGATCTTTGCAATAACTCAACTGGTTAGAGCAGTGCACTGGCATTGCAGAGGACAGGGTTCAAATCCTGGAAAGCCTGAATTTTTTTCAGGCTACACTGTATCTTTTCACAACTGTGCAAGTTGCGTCTTTAACCGCAACGATCTTCTTTGCATTCATAATTCTGACTGTTATTAGGGGTAAATTTTAGGTGGACCTACCACAAGCCAACAAAGCTTTCCAAATCTTCCAAGATTGACACCTTCACAACACACTCCAATGACTCGTTGTTTACTTACGAACTTCACCTGTATGAAGAAAAGTGCTGTAATCAGTTATAATCTACATGTAGGTGATAGACATATTATAGAGTTTATTTGTCTTGAACAAAACATAATATTTCATTCATCTTCTTTCTTTTCCTTCTTTTTAAGCCAACTCTTCCACCACCTCTACTGGTTGAAGCTATTTGACTGACATTGGCCTGGTAGTATAAGGGATGCTAACACTATCAACGAAGGAACAATATCTTTTTAAGAATGATAAGAGAAACTATAGGAGCATTACATTGGGACACTGAAAACTGTCCTCTATAAGTGGGTGTCATACAGCTAGTGTCAGTAGTACTACTGTAATGAGAAAAGTTAATTGTTTTTTGACCAAACTGACAGTGGATTTGAACTCTGAAACAGCCACTTTGGGGACAGAACTGCATGAAACTGACTATTGTAGCAAGGTGGCCATTATGTGAAGATAGCTAAAGGGTGTAATGTAACACCAATTTTTGGAGAAAAGGGTGGAACATTAATTTATAAATGCTTGTGAGAACATATATTAATAAAAAAAAAAACATAATCAAAATAGAGTCAATAAAACAACCCATAATGTTCGGAAAAAAGTTACAAAACAAAAAGTCTGAGGCACAGTGAGTACATCAGTTTGTGCTTCATTGATTTACAAGTATTGGATTGGAATCTTAACAAATTTAAAGAATCTAAATGAATTTCCAATGGCTTTTGTGACAAGGCTTTCTTGTATGAACCTGCCCCCCACCATATAAACGTCTGTAAAATTTTGCAACTTTATGGAGTTGTTGTTCGGAGAGGTAGCCATTGTTAGTAAAGAGGATGATACAAGAATGAATATATGGAGTGGTGGCTGTTAGTAGCAGCTAGTAGCTACCGGTACTTGGCTTGAAACAATTTCCCGGCTAGCGCCAGTTAAGTTATCTGGTATACCCTATTTTTGGTTGGCCACAGCCCGTTTTTGGCCAAACAAATGTCTTTAATCTAGGATTATCTGGTCACACTTCACAGTAAAATCCATGTGGATTATAATATTACTTGACACTGCTACACAAGCTACTCCTGAATTTGTAGTGACGACTTCATGGAAGACAAAGCAAAAACTTGTAATGAATGAACTGTTATAAATGTTCTTGATCTGTTTGCCTTTTTCTTCCCACCTTCCCTTTCTTTTTCTTCACCAACAACAAACACCAACAATGTTCAATCTCGATCAATCATTTAAAATGTGAAGGTCTGGATTGTGTGTAAGAAGCGTAGAAAGGTAGACAAAACGTGCGGCCATCCAAGGATTTGACCGGACAAAGCCTATTTTTGACTGGACATGGTCCATTGACTGGTTGTTATTTCAAGCCCTGAATAGTGGTTAAGCTGTATTTTAGGGGTTTTATTAACTAACTATATACAAGAGCCATTCTTACTGCTTCTTCAAACTGTCCTCCAAAGGCATCTATAACAACAGTTGATGGTATGTCATCTGGACTTAAATTTTCCTTCTCATCATCATCTGATATCACATCAGATAGATCTAAAGACAAAAATGTAAACAAATGCACTTTTGAAAGACATATTAACTTCATATTGTGGGCAGGGAAAGTTTGCTAACAATAACTTGCACTCTTATTTTAGACTCTTTAGAAAACTGGTGAAAATGGCATGCAGCGGAGTGAATCAAGGTTACAAAGAAGAAACATGACCCACAAATGTTAGCAGATAGCCCATCGGATAAGGCTTTGGAAAAGCTGCCAACATTTATAGGCAAGGAAATGGATTTACATTCGAACAAAAGTGGCCACCCTTTGACACTCCTCTTCAACAATAACAATTTGTAGCATTACAGTATATACTTACATTTTTCTGCTTCAATTGGTTGTCTCTTCAGAAGACTGGCACCCTCGTCACTTACATCTCGTGATAAGGACCCACTAGAAACTGCCATTTTCTTTAGCCCCAGCTTTGTATTAATCCCAATACCAGCATCTTTAAAAGCTTTTCTGATTCCTCGCCCTCTTCCTTCCCCGAACTTTACATCTGGCTTGTAAGCAGCTGGCCTTGAATGCTGAGAATTTGAGCTTTCTGGCTTTTCCTCAGGTGCTCTTTCGTCTTTCTTTGTAATAACATTTTTCCCCTCACTAAAAAAGAAAAGTACAAAATTTAAATTTATAACAAGTAGTTCTTTGATCTATGGTCCCCATTCCAAACAGCAGAAAGCAGTCTCGAATTTATCACATTCCCTATAGATGGTTTTCACAGTGATGTCATCAAATTGTAAAGTCAAAATAGCGAGGTTTTACGAATTCTTATTTACACTAGGTTGAAGATAACAAAAAATAGATCTTTGTACAAGTTTCCTTTCCCATAGGATGTTTCATTTCGAAAATACAGCAATTTGAACTTCCAAGTTTTCACAATGCGTGACACCAAAATAGGAATGCTGTCTTGTTGAAAAAAATTCTCTCCTTGTGATTTTCAGCAAGTACAATGTATGCTAGTTCTCGAGTGAAAAGAAAGAGCTTTTACAGAAAACGTGAACTCCAGATGTTTTTGTTAATTTCTGGCGGCCATACTGGTGGACCAAAACGGCACACCAATATGGCATCTCCATACAAAGCTCTACAAAGGTGCATGAAATGTTTCGGCAAATCGGCATGTCTTAATTATTAAGACATGAGACTTTGACAAATTGTTTAAATATTAGTCTTTTATAGCATCTCATTTTCTTGGCTTCTTCCACTGGACAGTTTCCAATTTGTTTTTTTTGGCGTGACAGTGAAAACAATCTATACAAAATTATGCAATTTGCGACTCTCACGTTCCCCTACCCTCTTTGATAGGACTTAGGAGATGATTACATCATTTCATCCTTATCTGCTAAATACTTACTAGTCACTATAATTCAAAGGGGACCCTGAAGAGTTCATACAGCAAGAAGATAAGCGCTCATTTAACACGGGAAAGCGAATGAAGTCTCTTGTTTTCGACTTAAGACAAAACTCTCGGAAATAAATTTCATAAGCCTTGCTTTTTGCTTGGTCCCACTTTTGGTCACACTCAGGAACAACCTAGTCTCTCACTCAAAACACCCCCTCCCGACCCACCAACCCAATTGGTCAAAATTTTCACAGGTGAATTTATATGAATGAAACTTATGCAACATCTACAAGTAGAAATTTGTTTGCTGACAGACTTGCCGACAACTGAAGACTATTTTTCATTTCAGTTAAGTTTTAACATTATTGTGCTCTTGTACTACCGCTACATGTGCAGGTGACATAACCAGACGTGAGGTGGTCTGGGGTTAATTTAATAATACTTTAACAAGCGTAATTTACAAGTATAGCGATTTAACTTTTGGACTCTGAAATGATGGCTACACTTGTAAATTACACTTGTAAAAGTTTTTAGTATTAAATTGACCATGGTTTGTATGTCATGGGTTGTATGTTGTTGGGTCTAGCTGCTCATTTACACGTAAGATGGTAATGACCTCTGGTAAGTTTTCAAACAAACAAGCAAACAAATAAAAGACACATGACTTTTACTCACTTTGTTTGTTGATTGTAATTAACATCAGGTTGATCCAGTAACTCCACTATCAAACAATAATGAGACAACCAAGAACTAAGGTTAGTTTTTACCACAGTTCATACAAAAAAATGCAACCATTCTTCAACGACTTTTTAAGGACCACCTACTAGGAGTATAATTTCACAGATTGTACAAAAATGCACATTCCCAGTGTATTATAATCAGGCTTTTCTGTTTGCTTCACCAACTTCTCTACATTTTTCAGTTCACCTGTCTTAAACTGATAGCTAATTACTGCATAAAATATTGAACACTTTGTGTAAATAAGTTATGATAAATCAGTTATGATTTTATATTCTATCTGGGACAACCAAAAAGCATCAAAACACACTTTCCAGGGGCCCCTTTCTCGAAAGTCCCAGTAACTTTTCGGGCCCAAAATCAAATATTCAAATCGAAATATAAAGAATAAGAGCGTGGGTCCTGGCTAGCAGACTACTCCATTTTGTTTCACTAACAGATGGTTTTATCATGCTAGATACACAACTATTGAAACCTTGATCTTTAATGTAAACGGAGACAGCTTACAGGGCCTGTTAATTATCGGGACTTTCGAGAAACGGGCCCCAGGCCACTACATTCAAACTGAAGAAAATTCAAGGACTTTTCAAGGACTTACACAGAATTTTAAGAACTTTTCAAGGAAAAATGGCATTCGAGGACTTTTCAAGACTGTGTGAACCCTGTTTACATCTTAAGAATAATTAATTAAGTATAATAAAAGGTAGTTGATCTGCCTTCTTTGATTTCCAAGACTTACCGTTACTCAGTTCATGTCCAAAGAAATGATGAAAACCATGAAGTCTTCTCCCTGTACTACAGGAAACCACTAAAAACAATCATCAAATTACAGTTATTATTAATTAACATCCACTTTACATTATAACGGAAAGTCTGTGTGTGCAAAGCGTACACAGCGGAGCCCCATAGCTATCATGGGATAGAAATTGAAAACCTATCGGTGCCAGAAAATCTGGTTGTGACATCGGCGTACACTGTCCATACAAACTCTGGGAGTAGGGGTAAAAAACTCATTAAGATGGGGAAGAGAGTCCCAGACATGTACATTGTGTTTCCTTTTGGTGCAAATTAAACATTTTAGGGGCAACCAATGAGTTGCTCACGTAAAAATCTAGATTGAAGTTTCTTGTGTTTGACTTAAAAAATGTCTAAAAATGGTTTAAGTATGGCGTGTGATTTGTGCCAGTTTACATGCTAACTGATATTGTTCATTCTCCCCAAAAAGAAAGTAGATGTAAGATTTGTAGATTATTTCACCAACAGACTCGTGACTTTGCTACAGATTGAGTCTAGCGCACATTTAACCGTATTTTAAATATACACAACAAGCAAAGGGCAGTTTGAGTAGACTACAAAATTAAGGTTATTCATAAGGAGAAATGAACTAAGTTATAACTAACTAACTAACTAACTTATCAACTTTCCAAAAATGTAAATAGCTTCAGAATCCTACAACAGATTTTTCCCTTACTTTAGCAAATAAGCCTCAGAGCTGTCTCTAGTTCTATATCTGCAAGTTTGAAGTCAATCGTGACCATACAACTCGCTGCACAAAATGCTGGTCAAATTTTTCGCTAACACATATTTTGTGAAACTGTGAAAGGTTTGAACCCAGGAGTCATTTCAAAAGTAGGTTGAGTTTGATCATCCGGGTGAACGTAGTCCTGAATAGGACCGTTGCTGTTGACAGTGACTGACGTTTCGACAACCTGTGCGGTAGTCATCTTCAGAGTCAAACTCAAAGTCTCTTTGACTCTGAAGATGACTACTGCACAGGTTGTCGAAACGTCAGTCACTGTCAACAACAACAGTCCTATTGAGGACTACGTTCACCTGGACGATCAAACTCAACCTCCTTTTAACATTTGTGAAAGTTGACGCACAAATTGAGGAAGAGTGTCAATTGACTATCTGCTATCTGAAAGGGTATTCTGACTTACACAAGGCTTCATTGCAAGAAACCGAGTAATCAGAAATCTTTGGTGGACAACTTCATACAACTGACTGTATTTTGTCAACCCAAGCCCCGCATTGGTGCCTTTTTTCACATTACAAATTGAACTCCCAAATTGGTTTACACACTGGTGCGATTACAGACCAAATTGCACTGGGTCCTTCTGTGATTATAAATCTGATATCCTGGACCGAATAGGTGATATCAATTTCTTTGTTGCCTATTTAAGCTGTACCAAGTAAAGAACAACGTCAGCCTTACTGTGTAAACGTATAACTAACAATAAAGCAAGTGTTGTATAATACAAAGATTGTATTGTCTTGGTGGATTTCCTGTTTGTCATATTATTTAAGTCAAAACGAAAAATATATTTCTTAAAAAATGAGGCTTTGTTCCCAATGGATCAGCTGATAACTGCGGGCCACGGTAACAGCACATTTAACACGAAAATTTGTGGCCGGGTATTCTGAAGTTGCCCTTGTAAATAACCACTTGTACCAGGGCAAAGTGCTGTTAGTACAGTAGTCGCTAATTGAAAATACGTTAGAATCATGCAATGATGTTAAAAATAACCCGCATTTCCAAATGTTTTCTCGTCCAATTTATTTCAATTAAAAACCCGCCAACAGTGTAATTATATGTGTAGATATATTAGATAGAAGAAGACCCAGGAACTTCACTGGACTTAATAACTTCTAATGCATTGCATTTGTTCTGTGAAACCATCGAAGATGATGATCTGCCGCCCGTTTATATAATTGAAAATATAAGCCCCACAATCCTTCTAAACCCTGGATTTTAAGGTTCTTCAAGTAATGTGTGATGTGTTCGAGTTAGAAACAGTAAAAACTGGACAATCATACACTTCCGACATATACCCAACGTGATTACCATTACAAATTTTCGTAACAACCGTGTGCGACTCGAAAAACCAACAAGAAGCATATGAGTGCATACAAATTGAAAGACCTTCTAACCTTTAGTTAAAGTAAGCTTTCTCTTTTCAGTGTCGATGCTGTGAACAGTTCCCTCGTAGTTTCCTTCGCTTGAAGACACTCTTAACCTCGCACCGACAAAAGAGGACTGCTCAGCCATATTGACAGATTGACATGATGCACAGATTGAACAGCCGAGTGGGGGCGCAAGTTTTATTGATGACACAGGATACCCAGACTGATTTCAGTGAGACTATGCTCGGGCTACACCTCGTAGCGCCAAAACTTAAGCGTCCTAAATCCCACACGGAAAGATACGCACAAAGACGAGTCTTGAAGACACATAAAAAATGCTTTCAAAATTACGAGATCGGATTAAAAGTTTCCGAGACCCACTGTTTTAGACGCCAGTCCTACTCTTTCTCCTCGCAGTCCGAGAATGAAAGAATCGATGAAGGAAATCATACGATACACCATCACTGGTGATAAGGTACTATAGTTGTTTATCTTGTCTTCCTCTTTTTTTTAACTAAGTGGTTTAAATTTCAAATTCAAGACAACGCATCGCGAGTGTTGTCCGCCATTTTGCTATTTCATGTGTACCGGAAGTTTGAGCCTCACTTTTACTTCCGGTCACGTCAAAGCGAGGCAAAAAGACAAAACAGTAGGTTAATTTTTCCTCTTGGTAATCAGCCGGGCGTAGTGGCGCACGCCTGTAATCCAGCTACTTGGAGGCTGGGGTCTCTGAACGGCTTGAGGGTGGGATTCCTGGGGGCGGTTGTCCTATGTAGATCGGGTGTCCGCGCTAAGTTTGGCGTCAATATGGGGAACACGGAGGAATCTGAGTTCTCCAGGTTGGTTAAAGAGGAGCGAACCGGCCCAGGGTGGAAACACAGCAGGCAAAAGCTCCCGCGTCAAACAGTAGTGGGATAGCACCTGTGAATAGGCGATCGTTCACAGCCCGTTCAAAATAGTCGAACTCGACCCTGTTTTTTATTTTATTTTTTATTCTTTGTTTTTTTCCTTGTCCAATGCTTTTTGTTTGCGATTTTGAACTAACTCAACCATCCATATAATATCTTTATTTCAATAATAAAAATATTTTCCTTTCAAAACCTTTTTTTTTTCATTTTTTTTTACCCCTTGCAAGAGATTTTTACATAAATGACTTATTTAATTCCGAGGATGCGTATACACTGGCGCAAAAAAAAAAAAAATGATACTTAGCGTTATTAAATTTCAGCCGGTTGTTAATTCGAAAATTTGGGGCCTTTCGCTGGATGCACCCAAGAAAGGATATTAGGGGGTGTTTATATGAGAAAACTCGCACCGGCGTGAGTTTCATACCGGGATGACTTTTTAATTTCGTATCGTTTACATGATGACTGAGTCATTTCATATCTCGTTATTTGAAGGTACACTTCATGTTGATAAAAATACACGCGTGATTCAAAATCGCAAACATTACGCATGCGCTTCCCGTTCCAGTCTACCGGCAGACCAATTTCACACCGAAAAGTGTGGTCGTTTCGCGTTACATGATACCGTTGCGAGATTTCGTACTGGAGTGAAATTCTCGCTCCGGTACAGCAACCGGGGTGACTCGCGCCGGGGTGCCTCGCGCCGGCATGACATTCTGTGGTGGTATCATGTAACAAATGTAGAGCTATGAGAGGGAACCAGAGTGAACTCGCTCCGGCGCGAAAGTCGCCCCGGTGTCATAGTCCCTCATTAGTGTCCAATTGCACTCGTCAGCTATTTCTGACCATGTCAAAACCACCGGGATCATTTTGAAATTTTATCATCGAGCAAAACTGACTAATCATTGAAAAACCTCCCCGTACGTCCACTTGCACCTGTGGAAGATATTTAACATGTCTTTATACAGTAGATTAAGCCAGTTTTTCGTTAACTTCAGCAGTGAGATGCTGATGCTCTATTAATTATTTAGGTGCTGCTTATCTGTATCTCAGTTTCAGACTCATTATCACTTTTGTGTTAATATAGCTGTCAAAACCGTACTGTTATAATAATGCGTACGTTTTGTACGTTAATATTTTTCACTGCTAGCAGTTACCGCTGTCAGTGTGTTTCATTTTAGACTAGAAAGTCTATAACAGGCAGGGCCGAAAATCACCTTATTTTCGAGGGGTTTTCAGAGGCTGCGATCATATACTTAGCCGGCAAGGATCATGCTCTTTCAGTTGCACTATCGAGGGACGCAGGTTCTGCTAGTTCTGGTAGCCTCCCACACAGACGAACGTTCGTGGGACAGGAGTGCGTGCTTATATTAAGCCTTGGGAACTTCTGCGTGGAAGATTCTGGGAACAAGATAGCCTGTACATAGACGTTGTTTTCCTGTCGACGATCGCGCGCGAGAGACTGAGCGGACCGCGAGAACGACGGCGGAGTGCTAGAATAAATCCCTCGAGGTTTTTATTTCTATACGCGCGCTTGACGATCTCTAAAGAGAAAATAGAGGATCTGTGAACAAGCTAGCCGAAACGAGATCGTTTCCCTTTGGAAAAAAAAATAGGATTCTTTAGAAAAGCCCTGGGAACGAGGTTGCGTGATAAGGCCCCAAGGGCCCAAGCAAGGGTTAAAGTAGTTAGGGCTCATGATCGTGCATTCTCAAATGGCTCCAATCACCGGGTCCGATCATCCCTAAGGAGAAGCCTTTAGAAACAGACTATACTGGGCCCCAGGAGTAAACATCAGATAGTTTAAATTTCCAATGCGTTATATACAATAAAAGGTTTTTGGAAACTAGAAAAAACTCCTAATATTCACCTAAAATCACAGTCGAGCGCTGCAAGCTTGGGCAGTGTTTTCACTTTTATCTCGTAAATCAAATTAATTCGGTCTTGTAGTACTTAAGCAGCGGTCTGATCTGTTTTAGAGTTCAAAGACGGCGAAGAGTCGTAGAAATATATATTGGGCAAATCTTGCTGTTTGGCTTATTGTAGCCTCATTCTAAGCCCAGTGGGACTTAGTCGACTTCAGTCTTCCATTCAACCTCCACTTCAAACGAAGTTCATGTAGGTCATTGCAGTCAAACTCAGAATGATACGGAGGGAAGCGCCTTTCGCTGAGGTTAGAGTGCTTAACAAGTACGAATCCGAGGAACTTATTCCTTGAAGTGCCAACGGATTCTTACAGCGCCTCTTCACAGATGTTGTCAAGGGATTTGCAGGTGGCGAAGGTCCCGAGGGATTATTACAGAGACCCTCCTCACAGCAACTCACATCACATTGCGAAAGCTTGAAGTCTGGAAACATTCTTTGTATTGAAGTCGTTCTGCAGATGAGATTCTTTAGCTGACTGCACTTTGATTTTACTGCGCAGTCCAGAATGTGGTACGTGAACTGGTCAATATTTGTCATATTTATGTGTGACATGTTGACCTTAAACGTAACGCTAGCTTTGTAGCAGGAGTCAGCGTGACCCGCCATATCTGGATCCCGGCAACAGTCTAAACTATCAGTGGGGTTATTGCAAAGGTCTAAGCCACTCAAATTCCCCTTGCTTAGGGAAACTGCCATGTTGGCGTAGCTGGGCTGACATGTGTAGCAGCTTACGGCAAATACTGCAATGAACAAAGATGACATCAATGACGTTAATGCAGTCAAACACCTGTTTCTTTACACCTTTGTAGCATCAAAGCCTCATTTATGATCATTTATCCACTTCTTACAATTAATTTTTCACCTGTGTTTTGAAATGCCAGTCTTTTCCAGGTCCTTTTTAATCTATTTAACATCTCGTATGTTGAGATTAAGCAGGTGCGCCGGGGATCGGTCCAGGATTAGGAAATTTACCTTTATGCATTGCAGGCCCGTAGGAAGGGGGGGAGACGGGTGCGCTCGCACACCCCCCCTTTCCCACAGGCTACACAGGTGCACTTTTTTGTTGATCAGCCGATTTTTAAAGTGAATTCATAGTATTCCAATATTCTAATTCAAAGATTGTGTGGTACAATTGAAAATACTTTGAAAAAGTTGACAAGCCTGACTTATGCACGCTTTCCACAAAACGTATTTTAGCCTTCGTTAAGTATATAAAAGGGGATTTAGTATGCCTTCAAGACATTGACCCCGTGCTAATATCATGAATACGTCGCTTGCTCTTTCACTTCGTCCTTAACAGGTAAAGTCTGTTTTGGAGGACTCGTAGCGTTGCTTGCAGGACTGTTTCGGGATGTTGAAGCTCCTACTAAAGCTACTCTACTCTTGTAATACAAAAAATTGTACTGTCACTTGGAGAAGAGTGTTGCAACATTCACCTCCAAGCTCGATCCAAGTCTTTTCATGTAAATAAGACTAATGTGAGTGGCGAGTTTTAGGACTGGATCACGATAATGTTTATGTGGGAGCAAAATCACTTTTTAAAACTTTGTTTTGTCACCTTTATCAGGACTGCAAACGACCCCCGGCACAAAATGGCACAATATTAGGAATGGACCGGTTTAGTGATTACCTTGCATTTGTTCAGACAGATATCACCAGAAAAACATGCTATAAGGCAAATTTAAGAACGCTGTGAAAAACAAATTAACCGGTAAAGATATCGATGACCATAACTGATAATTGAAGGCCTCCTGCTGAGATATAAGAAAACAGTTTTACTTCACCGGATCAGAATGCGAGCCTGTCAATCCCAATTTGTGATTGCAATTGGCAGACTGGCAGGGAAAGGGTACATTGCGTGTTCCAATGCATGCTTCCATAAAATCCGGCAATCAGTGAGTATTTCTGCAGTGCGTGTTTTTAAAATAAAATCAGAATAACTTTTTCGCTTTAAAACAGTCTAAGTTTCTTACAATTTACTCTAAGAATCGAACCAAGTCAAAGTGCTTTTTGCCATTACAGTGTGGACTTCTTAATATCGCGCATCGTTATAGTGTATTGTGCGAGCATTACGCGTTTCAAAAAGAAATTATTTATAGTAATTTTTCTTACAGAAATAAGAGGTAAGAAATAAAGTCTTTCGTCATTAGATAAAACAGTTTCAATTAGTAACTTGTTTTGAAAACTGACAATCGTATACGAATATGAATAGCTTGTAATAGAGTTTAATCCGCGTAGTCGGCTAAAAACGGGAAATAACTGACTTTTTGTGCTATCTACTCTGAATTCAGGCTATGTATTTTATCAAAGATGGTCCACATTTCCCTTAGTGGAAACCTAAAGGTGTTTGATGCTAGTCTAAAAAGACTTTTGCCTCCTCTCTCATGTATGGGAAATGCTTAAAACTAGGAAACTACGACGTACTGCACAGTGAGTAAAGAAACACATACCCTGCGAACAGAGTCTCCTTCGATCTTCCTAGATAAGTCGGCCTCTTCGCT